TGTATCCCTCCTTGGTGCTGGGATGTCTGACAGCTTTCCTGTCTGCAGCCATCACAACAGGAGAACATCCAGGCTCAGGGGCTGCACAGTGCCCTTGCTGCAGTTTGCTTTCCAGTGAGTCCTGCCTGGATCACTGGCATGCAGAGCTCCTCCCAGCTCCTTCGGGCTGTGCCAGGGGAGCAGGCTCAGGTGGACGAGTTCCCAAGGGTCACATTTCACTTCTAGCTGGTGTTCATGGAGGCTGAGGGGCTTCATTGGCAACTCTTTCACTTGAACTCTGCTTAACTTGGGGCCCATCCCACCTCTAGGGATGATTTTGTTTTCTTAATAATGTGTTCCAGTTCAGTCAGAAGTCATGGCTGTCATGCAGGAATCTTGTCACAAAATTCTTTGGCCTTTTGCAAATATTACACTAGATTACATAATAGTCGTTCTAGTTTCATAATCTATGAATCTCTACATATATACACCATTATGCTTCTTGAAAAGGCAGTGGAAGTTTCTTTTCTTCTGCAGTATCTTCAATTTGTAATTACATCTTGCACTTAATAATTACTTAATACAAATGATGAGCGAAGTATATTTGATTGAAGATTAAGCCCAGAAAGAGCAACAAAGTTAATTTGAAATGCTTGCAAACAGAATGCTGAAGTTACTGTTCTTTTGAGGTTAGTTTGCCATATTTTAGTTTGCATCCACCTTCCTGAGTCAGCAGAACTCTGAGAGAAGAGGATAGACTTTTTTCTCTACTGGCATTTGGAGTAGAACAGTTTGTAAAAAGTTTTCCAGGAGACAACCACCAGTAACATTCAATTACAACTTAAATGCTCATAAATTTAGGTTACTGACCCAAACAGGTAGGAGACAACATGGTTTTCCTTTTTGACAGTGTTTGCTCCCTGAACCTCTAAGAGAAGACCTTGGTAGTCCTTAACGTGGCCTTTCCACTTACAAAAAGTGTTCATACCTCAGAAACTTGGCACATACTTATTTTTCAATAGTTTTGATAGAACTTTTTCTTAAATATTCCTTGAACTGATGTCATTGTTTCCTGCTCTGTAATTATTGTTTCCCAACATCAGGAGCAGGTTCCCAAAATAATTGTTCCTCATATGAGCAGACCTTACCCACATGATTTGTTCCAGTGAAATCACTTACCTGTTTTAAATACTGCCTCTGAGACAAAAGATGGTTACAGCATCAGACCTCCCACAGAATTTCCCTGCCAGTTTCATTTGTTCATAAGCACAGCCCCAGCCTGCTTTATCAAGCGTTGCCTCTGTAGCTGTACTGGTTCATGATCTGAAATTTCATTGATCTTTGTTGATGGCAAAATCTTAGATGACAATACAGCTTCACCAAGAGGAGGAGAGAATGTATTGTAGTTGCATGAATTAAAAAAAAAGCAGTAGCTCCTTCCATTAGATGTATTTCCTGCAGTCACCCTGCAGGCAAAGATATAAAGGCAGGTGCATTATGGCTTGGATGGGTCTGCATTTACCTACTTAAAAGAATGTTTCTGTCTTCCTTGCTTCTGTGTAAAAAACCCAGCCCAGCTACCAAACACAGAGAAGCAAGCAAGCAATAACGCAATGGGCTGCAATCAAAAGAGAGGGTGTGGAGGTGCTTGTGTCCTTGACCTGTTATTTCAGGGCTCCTCTTCCTCTACAAATCACCATCAACTTTCCTTTTAATTGTTAGAGACACAAGTGTAAGTGTTTACCTTATTCCTAGGAGCTAAGCTAAATGGCTCCAGTAGCCTAAGAGACTGTAAAGAGAGATAATAAAAAGGCAGCTTCAAGTTACACCTAAAAATAAGGTGCTTCTAGCTGTCATGTAGGGTTCCTTCAGGGAAGTGTCCTGGCCCCAGAGCCAGCTCAGGGATGCCAAGCACACCGTGCTCCTCTCTGGGCTGCTGTCTCGCCAAGTAGAGCTGTGGGTTACAGAGACATTGCTGCTGCATGTGGAGCTGTGAGGTGCTTGCTGGGAAAGCCCCCATTATTCACCTTCCATCTTTTAATGGCCTGAAGTTTATTGAGCATCATTCAGTTCTTCTGCAAATTTCCTAGAAAGCAAGTAAGACACTTTTAAACTTCTCATAGAATGAACAGCTTCTAATATGCAAGGGTTACTAAATATGATGATTTCCTGTACCTTCATTTTACTGAATGCTGTGTCTTAATTTCCAGGAAACAGGACTATTATTGCAAGAGCTTTTTATCATCTTCTGAAGTGAATATCATTAATAAGTCCTGGTATTACAATGACTTCTCCATTTGTGACATGTGATAAGCTTTCTCTCACATACTACTGCAGGATGGTGCAGGTCTCAGGAGCTTACCTTGGTCCAAAATACAAGGCAAATTTCACTTGCTTGAGTAATTGCAAACTGTAAATGCCTAGAATATAAGGAAGGCAGAGATGAAGGGAAAAATCTATCAGAGAAAGACAGAAGTACAAAGTCTTTGTCTAACCATATGATTATTGGCAAAACTATAGCAAGCTTCCAAAAGAACTTTAATGGATTAACCAAAATGAAAAGCTGCTATATACATTACTTGCTGTTTTCTCACAATTCTAATTATTACCATCAAGAAACTGGAAAGAATGCAAGTAATTATATATACAAACTGGAAAGGTTTGACAAATTATTTCTGGGTTTTAATAATTTCTTGAAATATTTTCTCTTATGGGCTTTAATACAAACCAAATGGTCTCATTTTACTCATAAGATGTTTTTGTTAAGCTTAGCAATAATTTTTCTAGGATAGATAAAATAAAATAGTAGTGAGTAGTCATTTGGAAGCTATTGCTATAGCTTTCATCTGTCAGCACATGGTGTTTATGCTTTCCTCTGTTTGTTTTTGACAGAATATGGCTGATTTTAATGTATTGCATTTGATGTATTTTCATATCTAGTAACTGTGAGATCAGAGAGTAGAGGGAATATTGACAGGTCTGGTTCTAAGCCCTGATCTGTAAAGTGAGCTTTAGTGACAAACATTTATAAAAACTGGACCAATGGGAAGCTGATAGAGGTCGTTCTCCCTTAAGCAGAGACTGAAAGAAAAATCTCAGTGCTGCAAAGGTGGTTACATGGATGAAAAGCACCACTGTGTTTGCCTGGGGGGAAAAAGAGATATCTTCCTGCAAACCAGGTCTATTTTCTTCAAATAACCTTCAAGGAAACAACCTCTGCCAAGCTAGGAGCTGATTACCAGTTGCAGGGCTCAGACCATAGCCATTATTGTTTTAACATTTCTGCCTTCCTCTTTATCTCAGCAGGAACCAGGCTGTATGGGCTGCCATGTAACTTGACCTTCCTTGGAGATAAAAAGACAGATTAGCACCCAGCAATAGCAAAGCCAGAAGCAAAAAGACAGTATTTAGAAAATAAAGGAAAGAGCTGGCACTGTATGATTATGTGTAATGTTCTACACTGTGCAGCGTGGGTGGCCTGATGAACAGTTCCCCTCCATGAAACCCAGACAGAAACTTGGGCTTGGTAATAGTTTCTCCATTTTTAACCTTGTCTGTGCAGAGGTGCTGTGATTTTCATCATGAAGATGCTAATGATGATGATTTCCTTTAACATTTGAGAGTATGGGAAAAAATAAGGAAAGAGAAACGGAAAGGAAAAGAAGGAAACCTACATAAAATTGCCTTAGTTGTAGTAAACAAAATGAATAGCAAATCCACAGAAAGACCTGGATCTGAATCTTTAAGTCTTTGTTGTTGTTTTACTACTGTCCTCTGAGCTTTCCATGCAACAAACCAGTGAGCCCAGAGATCAGCCAGCAATTAGGCATGACATGCTCTGAGGTGTCTCAGGGATGCTAAAGAATGCTAAATGCTCAGTGATAAATCGTTCAGCATCAAAAATCTGAAAAACTGTGTAAAGGCAGAAATGGATGCTGTCCTGATCATCCATGGGTACTCAAGCTGGTGTGACAACTGTACATTGGGTGGTCGCTGTCAAAACCCAGCCAAGCCACAGCTGCACAGCCACGAACCCCCAGTTAGATCATGAGGGAGGCACAGTGACAGATTTCCTTCAGCTTTTCTCAACCACTACTTCATCTCAAAAACAAAGCAAACCAAAACTAAGTTAAGTCTTTGTAAAGATTTCAAGCCAGAAGCTGTAGAAGCTGTTTTACCTATCAGACTATATGGAAGATAATAAATACCTGAGGGTCTGATGGCTGATAACTTCCTACATAGACATGGGCAGAAAACACAAATTCAGTTATCAAGTTTCCTGACAGATAATGCCACGTCAGTCTTCACACATCCTCACACTGTCTCATGTATCTTTAGGTTCTAAGCTCCTCAGAGCAAGTACCCTTGTGGTGCTCTGATCACAGTTAGAGTGTTTTTGTGCTATTACAGAATGTGTCAGACCAGAAAGGAGTTGCAGCTCAGTCAGCTCTTGTTAAATGGGACTTAAGGTTGCATCCTCGCCTTTATTTTGAATGGCTCCTCAAAATTATAGGAGATTCTGACTAAAGCCACAGCAAAATAACCTCCCCTCCCAATTATTTGTACTGCTGCCAGTGGCAGGAAAGTCTGCTTGTTAAGAGGTGGCTCATTTGCAGCTTTCTAAGTCCCAAGTATTTTTTCCAGCTGTTACTTACAGGTAACAGAATACATTTTTCCTTGGGTCTTCAGAGTCACTGAGAAGTGTTAAGCTGCTCACACCATCCAACCTTTGTTCTGCAAACAAAAAAATTGTGTGCCTTCACCCACCTCAAAGATGACCAAGCTTCTCTAACAAGAGACAAAGAATTCAGTCACATGACGTGTTTAGAAAGCTTTATTTTCCTCACCATCCTACCTTGTGTGACTTGTGTGTGCTTGGGGGTGACCAGAAGGCAAAAATCCCCAGAGGACAAACTAGCATGAAGTCTGGTTACAGCATTCTGCCACAATTAAATGGTTCTTTTATAACTACTTGGTGGTGAAATTAAATTGACTTTCTTTGTGCTTTTTCCTCCTTCCAGACTCTGACGGCACCTGCTCCATTCGCTGATGAAACCAGCTGTCAGTGCCAAGCACCCCATGAGAAGCTGACCATTGCACAAGCGCGCCGGGGAACACCAGGTATGTGGAGAGAGCTACACCCACAGGATCATGGGCACTCCCAAAGCTCTGCATCTTCCATACAAACATCTATTAATGCTTATTTGTGCCTTCTACTCAAAAGCAAAAGCCTAATGTCCAGTGCTATCAGGTAATGAGAAGAAACCAGCAACTTCAGAGCCATTATGTTCTCTAGAAAAATAACAAGAGAAAACATTTCAAGTTAGAGTTTGATGTATTTGTGGATGTTGGTTGGAAGGAAGGCGTGCCAGCCCACTCCAGCCAGCCTGAAAATTGTGTTATGTAGTAGCTACCTTCTGGATTCTCATCTCTGGAAAACTCTTCTTTCACTGATGTTCCTGATGATTGCATCAGACCTTCAGTGGCCTTAAAGATTACTTGCCAATTTCTTTATCTGGGCATCTGTGATTGGACTGGGGAAGCAGGATGATTTCATATGAAGTCCCAAATGTTGAAGAGATTATTTTTTAGAAGGCTCTGTTGACTTACTTTACTTATTTAAAATAAGCTTTTAAAGTATGTCCACATTATAGGAGCAAGCTGCAGTTTTCCAGTCAGCTGTGCAAGGAACAGTGCTCTCTCTCCCACGGACCCTTGGATGTCCTGACTGCAGAGACCTCTCTCTGCTGTCACTGAAGCACAGTCCATGGAGGTTTGAGCTCTGTTGATTTCATCTCCACTGTGCTTTTGCTTGGAGGTGGCAAAGCATGCCATTTGAGAAAGCAAGTCCTTTTTCAGTCTGGAGGCTGCTGCTGAGGGTGCTGTACAGAAAGAGTTATAAGGGTGGTAGCATGAGAAAGAAAAGTTACAGGCTCATTAGAGAGAAGAACTTGGGGAAAGTCTGGAAAAAGTGAAGTAAGAGGTTTGCATAGAGGAGGTAAGCAATTGATTCTTACAGCAGTTAGCTGTGGAAAAAGTCAAGGCAAGAAGGAAGGAAAGGGAAATGATGGGAAAAAAATCCATAAGGCATATCTGATTAGAAAGGCAGAGAGAAAAGAACAAGACATATGGTGGAACTCTGAATGAGGCAGAAAGATGACATTTTTGCTAAATTAGAATATGGGGATGATGGATGGTAATAAATAGGGTAAGTCTGAGAGAAAACAGCAGAGAGTACAAAGAACAAGTAGTGTGCAGTATCAAAAACTGCAGGTTTACCTGTGGGGCTTTTGAATATCAGAACTGGGGTAAATCTGTGCAATCATCTGATCTGGGAACAAAATGCCATCCAGCAGAATTAAGTGCAACTTGTTTGGGATCTGAAAAATCACTGTTCTGTTTCTTTTCCCGCAGTTGACAGACCTGTTAGAGTGTATGCAGATGGAATATTTGACCTCTTCCACGCTGGCCATGCTAGAGCTCTTATGCAAGCCAAAACTCTATTCCCAAATAGCTACTTATTAGTAGGAGGTAAGATCAGAGTTATTTATTGCACTGAATTTTTGCTTCTGTGCTTCACTATCAGAAAGTTATTGCTGTGCTCCCACCCCCAGCTGTTTATACACTATGACTTGAATGCTGCTTTCACTCAGGGGCTTTCTATAGGTGATTTGCCTTGAATTACATCTTACAATTGCATCAATTAAAGTAAAAGTCAAATTCTGCCCTCAGCAGCACAGGCACAATTCCCATTCTAGTTAAAGCAGGTGCCTGCATGGCTCTGAGCTTAAAATAGCTCCATATGAATAATTTACCTTTTTCAGTTATTTGCTCAAAATTGTTCAAAGATGGAGATGAGTGAATGAGAGCAACCATTATTTATTTCTGGCTCATTGGTCCCCTTGCCAGCCAGGCACAGACCTCTGCCTGCCAGGTCCTGACCCAGCCTTCAGCATCATCACAGAAGCTAAGTCTGGCCCATTGTCATTGAAGACCCAAATGTAGGTCATGAGTGGAATGTCATTTCAGTTCACAGGTGTCCCCAGGCAGGTTACTTTCTTAATCCTATTTTTTTTTTTTTTGGCTAAGAAAATCTTTTCTTGGTGTGTGCCTGGCTACCAGCTGTTCAGCAGTTGGCCTGTGCCAGAGGAGTCACTGGAGGGTGGCTCTTTCCTACCTAGCTGGCTGTGCAAGCCCTGCTCTCATGAAGCCTCAGAAATTTGCAGTTTGGTTCCATTTTCCTTGCCCCTCCAGGGTTGAGATATTCCTCGCAGAAACATTTCACAGCAACCTTCATTCAGCTGCTCAAATGCTTTACAGTGAACATGAGTGCAACCTTCAGGTACTATAAGGTGCATTATTTTGCATATTTGTCCCAAACAATTGCGGAGGTGGGAGGCGGAGGGGGAAGACCCAACACGGAGGAAAACCAAAATCTCTTTATAAACACATATTTTAGTTTTAATCAAGTTTATGAAATGTGGCAATTCCCATGGAGCTTCCTGTGAGGTAAAAGACAAGTCCCTTTGTTAGGAAGGAAACATTAAGGAGTCTCTGGTTTCCTGCTGAGCCAGACAACTTGCAGAAGCAGCAAGTGGAAGTGCAAGACTATGAGGTTTAAAAAAAATGCATGTACATTTTGTTGTTGTTTTCATAGGATATGGGGTTGCCCCAGATAAGGGAAGGAGCTTTGGGGTAAATGCCTGACTCCTTTGAAATTCATGGCATAGCTTCACTTTGCCCCTATTTTTGGTGTGAAGGACAAAGCAGCCAGCACTCATCAGCACCTTCTCCCAGCAAGGCACTGTGTGTTAGCGTGCTTAAAAAATGGACACCTTCCCACACCCACATACAATTTGTGCTGCAAAAGCACCGGTGTCATATGTCTTTGTGGGCATCACAACAAATCCCTTCTATTTTTCTTGTGAAGACAATTATTTGGACCTAAGATCACTTTTCTTTTTAAAATGGACATTTATACCTTCCCAAATCAGTTATTAGAGCAGGATGACAGATTCAAAAGAAGTACAAAGAAAGATACTGTGTCTGCATTGTACATGAACAAATAGTAATCAGTAAATAAAATCAAACCTTTCTTCAGAATTTGAGCAAAAATTACGATTTCCCAATAATTTTGGTAGTCTTTTTCTTCCAGGAGAGGATAGCCTAAAGGTGTCATAAAGGCTGTAAATAAATACAACTACAGTCTCTGAAGGGATCTTTCTTCTGAAAATGCTTTGATCACCATTAAATTTCTTGTCAGCAGGCATCAAAACTGACATAATGGGACAGAATAGCATTTTGCTTGCTGAAATTCATACATATGTTATTATGTGGCTTTGAATTTTGCACAAGCTTGAGGGCTATCTAAGCCTTTCTACATTTTTCCTACTTTGAAAGTCCTTAATGACCATCACAGCAAGAACATCCATTTCAGATCTCAGAAAACACTGCGTCTTTGCCAGCACCTTTCCTGATAGGTTGATGTTTTCAAATTAGAAAGAAACAGCAACTGTTAGGCTGCTCTCACACTTCACTGCAGCACTGGTAATGTTACATTTATCATTTGTCAAGTACATTTATAGACAAAGATCCAAAGGCACAGGTTTGACCTGTGGTGAAGGACAACCACTGGCAACCCAGCTATAAATGGGTATCACATTATTCCATGTGGGGTGTCAAATGACTGTTGTAGCTGTAATGTTGGAAAGAGGTGGTTGTGGAGAAGGTCACTGGTTTTTACACAATGTTATGTGGGTAGAAAGATAATACCTAACTTTTACAGTCCTCTGGTAATGTGGGTCTTGCTGCCCCTCATTTTAAAAGCAGTGACAAAGTATTGGTGCATCCAGAGTTAAAGATGCAGGATTTCTGGACCTTTAACTCTGCTCATTTCACTACAGCATATGGCTTCTCCCAGTCTTTTCCTTGGGGCTTCCTTCAGCAGTTTCCATTTGAACATGGCACAAGCTTCACTTTTCTTCCTGTGAAGCCTGCTGAACTCTAAGCTCAGAGACAGATTCCTACAAAGTTTTCTATTACTTGTTTTCCATCAGGATTTATTTAATGAGAAATGGTCCCACTGTGATTTTGAACTTTGTTGGCAAATTTACCTTTTAGAGTATTGTTTACATAAAAATAAAAAGCAGGAAGTGGAGGCCCAGAGAGGCTGAGGGGTCTCCATCTTTGGAAATCCAACTGGACATGGCCCTGAGCAACCTGCAGTTGACTGTGCTGGGAGGAGAGGGTTTGGATTAGGTGATATCAAGTGGTTTTCCTGCCTCGACCATTTTGTGATACCTGAAGTTAGTGAGCACTCTGGGATTGTGCTCACAAAGCACACTGTGTTGTTTGATTGGTTTCAAAGCATTGGCCATCGCCCCTGTAATATCACAGCCCATGAAATCTCCACTTAACCGTGGGATTGGTTTACCTTAGCATGTAAAGGATCCCACCTGAAGTGTCTTAAAATGCCATACTTGGCCTCTGGCTGCAGCTCCAGAAAGAGAAGGTTGTCTCATTGTTACACAGTTGTATCTGCCAGCTCCAAGCAGAACTTTTAGATGCACTAGAACACCCCAAAAATTGCTAAGCTAATAAGTAAGTGCTTAATGGATTTACCTAGTGTAATCAACTCCTTGTCATGCTAATTTTACTGAATGTGGAGCCATTTTGCTCATACTTCTATATTTTAGTTTGCAGTGATGATTTAACTCATAAATTCAAAGGCTTCACTGTGATGAATGAAACGGAGCGATACGAAGCCCTCAGACACTGTCGTTACGTGGATGAGGTCATCAGAGATGCACCCTGGACACTGACACCTGAGTTCCTTGAAAAACATAAGGTACATTTGTTCCCTTATCTCTCCCTTCCCCTTTGGAGACTGACAGTTGAGAATGAGCAAGTCTGAAATCCTACTAGGGGAAGCAAGTTATTTTATTCAGTTAATTCCAGTCACTGAAATTAGGTACCTAGCGTTCCTTGCCTCCATCTCTGTCAGAAAACATTATGTTTATTTTGCCTTTTTTTCTCAATATGCTGAGATGATTTCTCTACTGGGATTTTTGAAAGGTAAAATAACACTGAAAAAATTACTGATAAATTGACTTTCAGAAAAGGAGAGGGTATACCAGGAAAGTTGTTACGTAGTGACTGAAGTCCTAAATTAAAGGCGTGTTTCTTATTAATGGCAACAGGTGCAATATGTAAAAATACCATGTGCCCTCTAAAAGGCAGGATAGATTGCTTTACATGCTATTGATTGCCTTGCAACACATATGAATCTTAACAAAAGCATAATTAAGTAGGATGTATTTTAGTGTCTACATCACTGGGTGACAGAAGGACAGCATGACAGTACTAGGTGTACATGTATGTATGCACAGCTCTAAGGACCCAGAATCAATTATCCTGCCTCCATGGTTTTGAAAGCCAAGGCCTCACCACTTGCTTTTGCAGTAGGAGTAAAAGCAGGAGCCTGTTTTGGGTTTTGTACTGCTCATCACACTGAGCCAATCAGAGTGATGTGGTAGTGGCAGTGCTTTTGGAGAGAAGATTTCTGGTTTTTTATAATTGATCATACAACACAGCAGTTGCTGGCCCAAATCTAGTACAATACACTAGGTGATGGCTTTAGGATGAGAATGTCAAAAACAAGTTAGCTGAAGTCAAGAAAAAGATAACAATCCCCCAGTGAACCAAAATTTGGTGATGGTGATGTAATTCTTCTGTTCCCTGGCAGATTGACTTTGTAGCACATGATGACATCCCCTACTCTTCCGCTGGATCGGATGACGTATACAAACACATCAAGGAGGCAGGTAAGGGCAACTTCACAGTTTTAGCACCTTCCTTTTCAGCCTCACCTGAAATTCTTATACTGCCTTTTAACCAGAACTTCTGGGAGAGAAGCAGTAGAGGTAATATCACATTGTCTTACACCCTCAACCTGATGGTAGGTACTGCTGAGTTGAGCAGAAAGAAAACCTCAGAGGACTTGGCTGAATTCCTGCCATAACCCCAAGGAAACCATTCAGATCTAGCACAAAACAGACCCATCTGCATTTTTAAAACAGTTTTATAGTGCTTCACTAAGAATTTTGAATGGATGAAAATGAGTTCAGTTCCCACAGCAGCCCAGCCAACTTTAGTCAGTTCTTGATAACCACAGACTGACACCTCCTTGATATATCCCAGTCCTGAATATGGGCAAGCACAGGCAACCTTCAGGAGCCATTAGGATCCACTTGCACTGAGGGTTCTTTTCATTACACTGGCAGAGGGTTTAAATCAGTATCAGAGTAATTAATTTCCATTACCATTTAGCAGTTTGGTTGACTGCCATATTATACTGAAAATGAAGATGCTGAATTCATTAGGAATTTGTGTCTTTTCAGTTCAAGGAAGATGAATTAAATTTGAGGAGATAACATTAAGCCACTGCTTGCCAGTAGTACCTATCCTAACAGTGGAAGGAGGAGGAACAAACCACATCCTTCTTCTGCTGCTCCCTGGAGATGCTGCTTTGAGCCCTGGCAAATCCAGCCTCTCTGTTCTGCATAGACATGTATATTGGAGGCTTGAAAAAATTCCAGAGCAATCTGCCTGATGGTATTATGCCATGCAAAGTGACCTCAAACTATACTATGACAGCTACAGACCAGCTATTGAGCTGAGCTGAAGGAATAAGCTTTTTATAGCAGCACTTCTTGATCTTTTTCCACTTGTGAACCTCCCTGTGGTATCAGACTCACAGCCCTCCTTTGGGAATGGCTGTTCTATAGTTTCAGAGCCAACACCAGCTTCCTTCAGTAGGCAGTGAAAAAAGGCCCCTCTGGTAAGAATGGGTCACCAAGAGACATACTGCACACATGCTGGACAGGCAGCTGTTTTACTTTTCTTCTGTAAGGTGCTGAGTGCACAAGACAGCACAACAGGAACTCTTGGTGTCACTGGATCATTACCAGACTTGGTGTGAGAGTGCCCAAACCTGGCACTCCCTTCTCTGCTGTCACTGAGCACAGGCACAGTGCACACACAACCCCATGAGAAACTCAAAGTTGGCAGAAGAGAGCTCAGGCTTGCAGCTTCAGGGAGCTGTGGTCCAATGTGTCTGTCACCACAAGATACTGGAGGAGCATCTTGGGAATAATGTTAACTTATTTGTGATGAGTTTTGAGACCTAGTGCTGTAATAGTGCCTAATGCTCCAGAGCAGCATTATTACAATAATTAATTTCCCCTTTCTCCCAGAGGTTTTGTTTGAAATAGACCAGGGCTGTTGATGCATTTGCACGTTTTCCATAGTTCCAGTACTCCCATTTTCCTACATCAGATTGTTGGAGAGCAGAGAAGTGCATGGGAACCAGGGAGCTCCTTGGGTAGATTCTCATGGGCTCCCAATTCCTCACTATCTTCAGAGGATGGGAGGGCATATGGGCAGTGGTGAGCTGACTGAAACTGTGCACATCTGTGAGCAATTAGTTTGGAAAACATGGATCAGTCCAACACGTGAAGCAGATGAAAGCAAAGTCAGTGACTAAGGGTAATGTCCATCTACAGTTCCACTTGCAGCTTAACAAAGGTGGGGTTTGGAATTTGTCCATGTATTCGTGTAACTCTTATCTATAAAGGTTTCTGGCTCAAAGTGGGTTTCATTGCTTCCAAAAATAGTTTCCTGAGTGACTGGTGGAAGCCTGAAAAGCAACAGTCAGGGAAACATGTCTGCTCATGATTAAAGTAATCTATTTTTTTAGCAGAGTATTAATTAGAGATCAGAAAGAAAAAATATCACATAGCATTTAGTCACAAGAGGCTGCTAAGCTTCTTGATTCTTTCTCTGAGTCTTTTTCCAGCCCTGTAAAATTAAGTACCAATGCCTGCTTACTTTAAGTGAACATGTGAGGGTTAATTTGCCAGGAACTATAACACCATTTTAAGACAAAGCACTGCTTTCTTTTCCCAAACCATCGCCAGTCTTCTCCCTCTCTTTCATCAGCAGCTTCACGTTGCAATTACATATAAGTGAGAGTAGTAATTTTTTTTGTAGCTCTAAATAACTACTAAACCAAGGTGTGCCTGAACTCTGCTACTATTGCATTTGTGAATTGCATTAACAGTTTAGGTGCACCTGCTTTGGTTGGGAGCTGTTAGAAAGCCACATATATCTCAGTTGTGTTGAGGAAAACATGAGCAGTATTGATAAATGGCCAGTTTTCTTAGGGACTGATTTGTCAGAGCAGGGAGGATGGTTATGCAGCCATTGGCATGGCTGGATGGGCATGGAACACTGCACTTCAACATACATGACACTTCATCTTTCTGATGCAAACCACTGGCACCTCCAGGGTGTCTTCCAGTTACTGTAATACATCTTTTTCCTGGCTTTTGTCAAGGCCAGAGGCTGGTCTGTTCTACTCAGCAGAACAGAGACTGTCAGATGGTGCAGCACAGGAGTGGAAATAAAGGAAAGGAGCGAACTTCCCTGCTCCTTTATATAACATTAAATAAGGGCTGTGCTTGTGGAAAGAACTGCTCAGTGAATTGGCCACAGCTGTGAAGCTTGGCCTTCCTGGCTCAGGAGCCCCTGCCAGTCTGATAACTTCCACATCACAGCTGACACTGTACAGAGGGCAATTTTTAGTCTTTCTAAAGACTTGAGTGAAAAATGAGTAGTATAGCAACCTTGCCTTCCCCAAACTCACACAGAAACAACAGGAGAGAACTCAGAATAAGGCAGAATTGCAAACCTCTTACCTTTGTCAGGCATTTTGATGCTCCTCCTCAGCTATCTGCCACAGTGGCTGGTCCTGCCAAGCTTTATCAGCAGGCTCTCTTTTCCCACTTTGCTCAGGAATGTTTGTACCTACGCAGAGAACTGAAGGCATCTCCACGTCGGACATCATCACGCGCATCGTGCGCGACTATGACGTGTACGCGCGGCGCAACCTGCAGCGAGGCTACACCGCCAAGGAGCTCAACGTCAGCTTCATCAACGTGAGTGCCTCTCCACCTCTGCTCCTCAAACACCCTCTGCTAGCACCCTCAATGCAAAGGAAAGGTTAAGAAATTATGTCTTCTTCATGCTGCTTTTAAAAGAGCTGGAAAGAATTTAAAAGACACTGGTAAGCTGAGGGTAGTTTTAATTGCTCCTATTAATTAGCAGCTTAGTTTTCATCTTACACTTTTAACAAAGCTGCTGCTCCCCTTTCTTCCTTGAGCTGTAGGTGACAATGACACACTAGGAAGGAGCCCACCCTCCCACCAGAAGCTGCTCAACCATTCACCCAAGACATGATTTCTTTCTATATTCCTATTCCAAGAAGGCAGCACAGAGAGCATGGATTTTGAGATCCAAAGTTTCTCTACAATGTGATAGGATTAAAAAAACCAACAAAACAAAAATGCCTAAATTACTAGGGAAAGCTAAAATGGTTTTTAAAAGACAAGGAAATATGCTAAGAAACTAGTACATAAATGATGCTGCTGTAGAGCTCAGAAACCACAATGGCAGGAGAGCCATGTGGTGGCTCAGATTATTCACATACAGACCTGCCCCTCCAATGAGAAGTAAACACTTTATGGAAATTAGACTTTACCTTCCTTCATTTTCTGTTTCAAGTCTTGATTTTAGACCTCAAGATAACCAACATAACTGAAATCTCTGTTGTGATCTCTGAGATGGCTCACAGCAGGACTTCCCACCTCCCTCCCTGGAGCCTGGAAACCCCCTTGTGAAGGACTGAATTGTGTCATTTCATTAGTTTATCTCTTTCTTATTTTGAAGTCTGAAGATAAACCCCAGATCATAGGGCATAAATATTTATTTCACTGTGCTTTTTTTGAAAGTCTTCTACACCTTTAAAAAATCTTGCTTGTAAGTACTCCACTCAGAAAGATCACTGTTGCAAATATCCATTAAAATAAGGCATGTTGGATGCCTTGAAGATTCTCAAATTTATCCTAAATTTATCCTTGAGCAGCTGTGAGGTTAAGATACTGTTGTATAAGTCATGCTTGCCCCCATCTCAGACACTGATGTCTTCTAAACAACTTCCTAGCATGATTGTTTAGTGTGCAGTAATTTAAATGCAGAAGTACTGATTTGTACTGGAGACTGTTCATCTAAAAATGAAACCCCCAGGATTTCACAAGAGCACTGGTCTTGTTTGCAGAAGGGCCCTGGTTTCCTCATTAAAGGGCTGATCACCCTTTAGGTACAGAGGAAGTGAGGTTTCTTTGGACCTTGGGGATTTTGTTTGTGCTTGTGGTTTGCAAAGACAGTTCCTCTAGTGATTTGTGAGCTAGAATAAACCCCACTTCAGTGCTTGTTTTTTTTAAATAAATCCAAGTGGCCATTAAATGGAGTTAACAGAAAATTAAAAGCCAATAGTGATCTGTGCTTCTGCACAGACCACCACACCTTCAAGAGCACAGGCTTGCTTATTTGCTTGTACCAAAAATTTGTGGAGCACACAAGCATTTCAAGACAAAAGCTCTTTATTCCTGAAGTATTTCAGAAGCTTTTTCCAGGAGCTCCCTAATATTATCTTCTCTCTCTCTTTTTTTCTGTATGACTTAGCAATTAGGAGTTCTCTCCTTTCTGTGAAGTTTGCTGGCCACAAGCCATTGGCCTACACACATCTCTGTTGCAGCCAGAAGCTCCTGTATTAGCCAGGCTCAGAATTTATGAGAGTTTTCCTTCTGCTCTGCAGAAATCCACCCAAAGAGACATTTTAGTCCCAGTAGACATCCAGGCTGGCAAGTCAGCAGCATTTGCTAGGAAACATAGGGAGATTTACCTTTTGCCTACTCCTAAGTTTGAGCTGTTAATTTCCCACTCATATCCTTCACAAGATTCTTATCAATTTCAAAGTGCATTCAGTTTGAAAATACAGAAAGATTCATGTAGTGGATTAAACACAGTAAATCACACAAGAAACCTTTTCAGTATGTACCTTCTGCATTTCGTTCCACAAACATTAAACTTGCATTTATAAAAATAAAGTGAGAATAGCTAACCAAGGCCATATGTATTAGGATGCATTAATGCAATTTTTTTCTTCTTCTCAACTGTCTGTGGCTAATTACTTCCAAGTTTTTTATTAATCTTTGACCACATTTTTACAACAGGAGAAGAAATATCGCTTTCAAAACCAAGTGGACAAAATGAAAGAAAAAGTCAAGAATGTGGAGGAAAAGTCAAAAGAATTCGTTTACAAGGTGGAAGAGAAGAGCCATGACCTCATTCAGAAATGGGAAGAAAAGTCCAGGGAATTTATTGGCAACTTTTTAGAGCTGTTTGGACCTGATGGAGCTTGGGTAGGTATTCTGCCATCCCAGGAAGTCTGAGTGTTTTTATTTCTCCTCTCTAACACAGGTGAAGAGCAGATACTTTTGCTACAGACTTTGTCTCAAAAGGCCACACAGCAGGGTAATGGCTGCTGAAGCCATTAATGCATACCAATATTGCAACAGCAGGATTTGCTGCTTCTGGCTGTTGCTTTTTTTGAGATTCTGTATTTTGTGACGGTGTGATGATGAATTTAATACTGCATTCAGCAGAGCTGCATCACAGCACCACACAAGCAAACAGGCCAATACAGTCTGTTGGCCCTGTTAGCAATAAATGGAACCACTCCTACATCAGGGATCTTCAGTGGAGGTAGTGAGGTAAAACAGGACCACTGGGAAAGTTTTCAGTAGTTCTCTTCCTGGTCTGTATGCAGCAGTAGAAGATTATAATTTTCTAACTTCAAAAACTACTGATAAAAATTCCAAGAAGTTATTTTACTTGTCGAGTTCAGGCTCATCTCACTGACAGTAGGGAAGGTTCAGGTGGGACTGTAGCACTTCCAAAGCTCTTCTTGCTATGTTGGTATGTATTCAAATGGCTGCCTTCAGAGAGCCATTTACTAAAGCTGTAAGTGCCTTGGAGAGGCAGTTCAGAATTTGCAACAGCATCTTTCAGGAGAGAAACCTGCTCAGCCCAAACTCGTGCACTGAGCGGTGAAGTGGTGACACTTTAGAGCCCCAAAAGAGTCCTGGCCCCCATCTGTCAGTTCTGATAGCTTGTCAAACCTCAAGAAGCTTTGTTTGCTTGTATGACTTTTCTTTGCTGCATTGAAAGCAGTAACAAAGCTGAAATTGAATGTAGAGTTTGTCTGTGTTGGGATGAAAGCCCAGACCCTCCAGTGCAGGCACCATCTCAGACACTGCTCTGGTTGCAAACTCTGAGTGAAAAAGGCACCTTCTGCTGGAAGGAACTCAGCAGGTATTTTGTTTGTAAACAAACACATAGAAGAGTCACAAAGCTTTTGTGAATTAAGTAGCTCCCATCAGTGCTGTGTCACCCCTCAGTGCTACCAAGTCAAGCAGTGCCTGCCTCCTGCTGGAGTTCTCATCTTTGCACTGACTTGCCATGTTGATTACCACTCAGTTGAGAAAAACCCAAAATTAGGCTGTGAAGGCTTCAGGACAGAGACTGTCATCATACAGCTACTTTTGTCACCCAAAGGCAGTGATCACTGACCAACACAGGCCCCAGCCACACAAGCAGTGAGCTTAGAACAGATTGTTCATTGACACTGGCATGTTCCTGGGGGAGGGCAAGAAGGCAACTCTTCTGGTTTACCTGCATTGTCCACATCCACATGAAGCTTCCTGTGGGAGTTGTTGCCCATAGAGCTCGGTGTGGGTTCCCCAGTGAGATGGGCCTTTGGCCATATGTGCTGGATAACTAAAGCTGATGCTAACAGAGGATGTGGATTTCACAGGAGGTGAGATGAGTTTAGCTGTGCAGAGACAGGGAAGGAATTCAAAAGCATTGATCCTATTTCCTGGCTCTGCCCACTCAACAGTGCATGCTAATGGCATTTTTAAAAACCTTTGCTGATAAAACATTTTACCAAATTGAATTAAGGAAAAGGTGCTCTGCGTATGTCTTTTAAAATTAGAAACTCTTGTTTCCTGACTAAGTGTTTGACCACAGAGTAGGAAGTCTGGCACAATCACAGGGACCTTTGCTAAGAACAAGAGGAGTGAAATCTCTTCACAGTGTTGTAGGAAAAGCATCAGTGACAGCAAGCTGAGAGGTGGTGTAGCTTTTTTAAAATCAGTTTGAGCCTTGGCAACAGGAAAGACTTTAAAAAAAATGATAACTTACTATTAGTGTCAAAACTGTTATTAATGCTAATTTCCCTTATCACTGTTAGTTAGAAGTTGCTTTTAATGTTGACATTAAAAGTACAGGAATCGTTATGGGCATGCTGGATTCCTAGATCAGTAATTTGCATGCCATTAATATGCTATTATTATTTCACAAATAATTATTATAATATACTTTATGCTAGCATCAATTTTCTAAAAGTAAGGGCTATGTAACCCACAGAAAAATGCCTGCTTGTGAAAGAGGTCAAGATGTCAGTTTTCAGATGTCTGGATGTCTGTAATTCATTGGCAATTTTGCCCACCTGTGCAATCCCCCTGTGCATATGTTTTCTGCAAGAGGGTCAGAGAGGTCAGAAACAATGATTAGTGTAGCATGAAACTTGTCTGTGATGTGAGACAGGACCACCACACAGTCTGGCACACAGGGCCTGATGGCAGAGACACCACTCCAGGGTGCAGGAATCCATTCCAGCTCCTTTCAGACATGTACAACAGGCACCTCCAGCTGAGGGCAGAGGAGAGAAAGCACAGCTCACAGGGCAGGGTTTCTGTGCCAGTGTCTCTCAGAAATGTCCCTTCAGATGAGGTGTCTCTTCAAGGGGCTGGCTTCCCCCTGCTCAGCACACAGGGATACTTGGGGAAGGTTACCTTCCAAACAGCTGACACACCTCAGACGTCATCAGGGGCTCAGGTAAGACAGGTTGCAGCTGGAACCTGGGGGTGGTGTTTAGGCCACACCACCTGTCTGCAGCTTGGACCTAAAGTGGCCTTGGAACTATCAGCAGCTCAAAAGCAGACACCCAGCTGGCACTTGCTTTGTAAAGCAAAGGGGTATCAACATACAGGCAGTAAAATTCAGAAACAGGCAAAATATTTATTCCCACTTGCGAGTTTGCCAAAAACAAACCCTGAACTGGTTGGGTGTACTTGTGTACCTGAACTTGCTTGAGTCAAGGCTTTGAAATCATTTCCCTACCTGGAAATCCTGCCCACCTGACTTGGTAAAGGACCACAGTGCATCCAGCCTTGTCTCACCCTCCAGCACTCCAAGGAAGCCATTAACACTTGTTCTGCTTCTTCAGCACCCAATGGCCCAAGGAGCTCCTTGCCTGCAAAGGGCATGGCTTACTGACCCTGCTAGGGCACAGCTGGAGAGAAAGGTGTTCTGAGGCAGGTGAGTGACACCACCTCCTCCTCCTGCAGAGCTGTGCTTTTAGCCAGCAGCCTGCTGGTTCCAGCTCTAATGCAGGAGGCAACATGGAGGGGCTGGGCCTTGCCCTGCTCAAGGTGTGAGTGCATCAGTTTGTTCAGCAACAAACTCTTCACTGAAGGCCTGGGAAGCAGGTGTCCTACAGCCTGGCTGAGGAACTTAGCAGGAAGGTGGGATTCTCCTTTCCAGACCTGGCCTCTGTCACTAAGGCACAGTCAAGTACTCCACATGGGATGGTGCAGGCCAAGCCAGCCTGGGGCACTTGGATGTCCTCCAGCACTGCCACCACATCACCACAAAGCGCTGCTGTGCCACTGAGTCATTAGAAGAACAACTGTTAGACAACAGAAGGCAATCAAACTATTTTGAGTGGCCAGGAAAAATATATTTCGTATCAAACATGGGATTCTGTTTTTGTTGGGAATTATCTTCAGTGAGAGGGTGAAACAAGCCAACAGAACCTCACATTTTTGTGATCTCAAGAGAAAATTTGCACCCCTACGACTGAATTATAAACAGGCTCTGGAGCTTTGCCAGCTCTGGTGACATCCTTGCTGCTCTCAGCTGCAGAAATCCTCCCCCATCCAAATGCTTCCTGGCACCATTTATCAGGAGCAACCACCATCTGCTAATTATTGAGATTTTAGAAGTCTTGACTAATTTGGACCTAGCAGTAGTGCAGGGTAGGTACACACCATGGGGTTTTTGCTCAAGAGCCTTGAGAAGTAGCTCCAGGCAGGAACTGTTCTGCCACTCTGCACTGCAGTGAAATCCAGGCTCTAAGTCAATAAAGGCTAATGTGATGAAGATGTAAATTATGAGAGGGATCTCACAGAAGAACAGCTAAGTTCAGTATTTGTGCTTGATTTTTAAGCCCTGGGATTTAGCAAACACCCAGAAACCTGAGGGGTAAACCAGCATCTGCCTCTTTGCTGGCAGGGAATACTGAGTTTCAAAGAGGAGGAGAAAGAGCAAGATGAGCACCCAGATACTGTCAGCACAGGGCAGAGTCACTGCAGAGGGAAGGGGAATAGGAACATGATGAAAACTGGGCAACTCCAAGCTAAAACAGGCAAACCCACACATTCTGCACAAGTATTTTCCTCTCAGACCTGAGTGGTAACTTAACTTTGTTGGGGCTGGATCTTCCTTTCAGCCGAGCATCGCCTGTGACTCAACTGCCAGTCCTGCAGCCAAGCTTGAGGCCTCTTACCCCCCATGCCCAGGAGGAGCAGCAGGGCACTCGGATTTGGCACTTCCCATGTGAAGCCTGCAGCAGCTGCACAGCACACACCACGTCTTCCATAACCCAGCGTGACGCAAGGCCACATTGCTGCTAAAGAGTAGAGGCACTTGCCTTAGTGTAGCAGATTGCTTGACTGCAGAGGTGGCTCTTCCACCCCACTAACTCTGGCAGGCCTCCACTCTGCTTTCCAAAGCAAAAGTGACAATAAAGCTCTAAGCAAAACATAGAGCCTGCAAGTGTTTTCTCTTTTCAACAGACACCCAAATTGTGACATTCCCAACCTCAGTTTATGGGTTTGGGTCGTGCCTGCTGCGGTCAGCTGGGGAAGTGGCTGCCAGTACCTGGCAGGCACCAGGCTGTCTCCCTTAAGAAGGGACAGAGGAATAAAGGCTAGGAAAGCCAAGAAGCTCAGGAGGAGAGGGGTGGTCCTTCCCAACATTCTAGATGGAAAAGGCTGTGGGAACTGGAATATTGGGCGTTCAGGCAGAAAAGTGACCTTTGGAGATGAGAGTGTGACCAATACATACAAAACCCACAAAGGGAGTGCCCCGTGTGTGGCTCAGGCCAGTACACACGGTGTTCCCACACTGGGGGTGGCCCAGCTGAGGTAAAAGCTTGCATGCCAGGACCAGGTTATCCTCATGAGCACAGCAGAGCAAACCAGCCACACTGGGGCTCTGGCTCCCTGCTCGCTCCTCAGTGAGAGGCACAGTGCAGCCCCTGCCTCCCCTAGCCTCTCCTCTGTGCAGTACTCACAGAGCATCTTCTCACTTTGCTTTTGCAGAAGCAGATGTTCCAGGAACGAAGCGGCCGAATGCTCCAGGCTTTTTCTCCCCGGCAGAGCCCCAACAGCAGTCCTACGCGAGGCCGCTCGCCGTCCCGCTCGCCATCTCCACCCTGGGTCATCAATAAGACCTCCCCTCCCTCTTCTCCAAAAGCTGCCTCTGCCTCCCTCAGCAGCATGAGCGAGGGAGATGAGGATGAAAAATAAAATATATATTTTTTTAACCATGAGACAGAAGAACAAGCTATGAACTCAACCACCGGATGGGGAGAAGCGTGAGGAACACCAGAGGTATCTCTGGCAGCAGGGATCGTGCTCTGGGAGATGTCAGAAATGAACTGGAGCACAGCAAGGGAGATCTCAGGAAGAGCTTATCCCATCCCCACTCCCTCACGGTGCTGGAGGCCCAGCCAGCAGCACTTGCCAGGCACAGCCCCAGGGACTGGCAGCAAACCACACCCATGTGCAATTCCTGCCCCTGTCCTGCTGCTTTCCAGCTGCTGCTCCAGGCACCGAGGGGGGCTGGCAGGAGCAGCCCAGCTGGCTCCCGATCCAGACCCAGCACACAGGGAAGTGCTGGCTGCAGCCTGCAGAGAGAGAAGATGCAGTTGTACCCTGCTGACCTTGAGCTCTTCTGGCACATGAAGGAATGGCATTGCTGCAGCAAATACATTGAGAAACTGGGAATAAAGTTGGGGGTTTTTTTCTTTTTGAATAACATCTACCCCAGAGCCCAAATCATGCACTGAAATGAAGAGATCTCCAGGCAAGTTGGTGAAAATCCATTTAACATATTCAGTGCTGCTTGTTGACCAAGCCTCTGCGTGGGGTGTAGGTAAGGAGTTGGGCTTTTTGCTTTATCAGATCACTTTCCATGTTCCTAGTGCCTGAACAGCTGCCTAATCACTTCTGGTTTGCTCCCTGGCTTTGCACTTTGAAGGCAAGAAAGTAAATGAAAAGACAGCCATAGCTGGAATGTGGTGGTGTAGGAAATAAGACAATTTGAAGATGCTGATGGTTTTTACTGATGAATTATAAAAATATCCCAAGGCCTTTGGACGTGGCCTCCTAGGAAAACCTGCTGCTCCCAGCTATGTATCAGCAAATGACAAGCAAACAGTGCTGTTGTCACATGGCATTCAGCCAGTACAAACTTCTCATCAAACTCCAAACAAGATGTGTTCACAGACACACTGCCCCTGCAGAGGATCCCAAGGTTATTCCTCTACACTAATATGCAGAAAAAAAATGTAAAAAACGAACAAAGAAACTTTTTGAACAGGATTAGGCACAACTGTTTTCTTTCTCTGTCCATGACATGTGTACAGCCTCGAGCAGAAACACAGGTGAAGCTCTGTCCTCAGTGCTGATCTTCCTAGCTGGCAAAGCCAGTCCTGCCTGACACCTGGTTCCACGTTCAGTCCCTCAGCTGACACCTGCTGGGGTGGCTGCAGGAGCTGGCAGGATTCCTGAGCCCTGGGGCTGCCCCACAGCTGCAGGAGCCCCCAGCACTGTGCCACTGATGCCACTTGGCTCCCCAGCTTGCCTGGCACAGCTGCCTCAGTGCACAGCCACGTTGGAGGCTCTCCAGCCCAGCAGCAGCTTTGGTGCCAGGCCAGCAGGTGACAGCTGCCACTGTCCCTGTCTCCCAGGCAGCCTGGGCAGGGGGCTGCAGCCACAGCAGCACTCCTGCACAGGCAGCACAGGAAATGCTGGAGGAGGGAGGGCTCCATGTCTCTCTTGGGAAAAAGCTGAGGGACGAGATGCCCAAGCACGTGAGGTGGCTGTGCTTGCTGGCAGCAGCACCCCTGGCTGCTGTCCTTACCTGCCTGGGTGATCTGCTCAGTAGGCAGACACCTTTCCAGACACTTTCCTGGGCAAGTAAATTACAGACCTTGGTACCAGGCACCAAATTAGCCCCACACTCTGCGCACTCCCTACAGCTTTCATCCCTCCTCCACTACGAAGTGAGTGATTTTTCTTTGGCAACGTTTTGCCAGACACTTCTCAGACCACCACAAGACCAAGTACAACATCTCATGCACTTTGTCCTCTGGAGTCAAGCTAGTTCCTTCACAGCTGCAAAAACAGGTGAGCAGGAAATAGGGTGGAATGTGCAAAGGGACAGCCACAGATATTTCAGCTGCCACCAGCTGTGTGCCTGATGGGACGATGCAATTAAGACCTTTCTCAGCCTTAGGCAACCTGTTACTGTAATTTCATACCTGGGATGCACTTGTCAGTTTTTCTGATCCTTTGCAAGTCTTCAGTCTTCCCATCACAAACCACTCCTCCACCACAGAACTGTCTGCTCCTACTGGTGCTGTTGATAGACGAGCCATATCCACGTGCAATGGAGGTGGGCAAGGATTTGTTGTTCTTGGCTTTTCCCATTGTTTCTTGTTCATTTTAATTTCCTAGCAGTTCCTGTTCAGCAGCCCTTGCTCAGTGGGTTAAGTGGAGACAGCACCACAACTTGTACATGGGAAGTAGAGAAAAACTCACCAGTGACCTGTTCTTAACAGAATGTTTCTCAGGGTCACAGGTGGCTACCCAGCAACAAAGCCATATTCTGTACCAGGTGTCTTGTTTGCATTTAGGATATCACTAAGCTGAAGCCTTTGCCCTGCTGGTACATTCACGTGCTGTCTCCTGCAAACCAGACCCTCATGGTGTCTGGACACATGGAAGACAATTTTGCACTTCTGAGTCATGGTTGGGTTTTCCTTTTCACAAGTATTGCTTTAATTTAGTCCTATTTATCAGCCAAGCTCCACATGAACAATAAAGTGTATGACAGACACAGCTGCCTCTCCCCTTCATTTTACAGCATCTCCGGACAGCTGAACACAACCTGCAGAGGAAACCCCAGTGGTGGCACAGTGACTGTCATCCCCATCCTTGGTAGCCCAGGGCTTTAGGCCCCCACAAAGCCACGAGAGCAGCTCTGCCAACATGTCCAGCAGGCTGCTGCTTGTTCTGCTGCTCTCTGCACTAACAGGATCACCTCTCCTTGCTTTTACCTTGCAGGCAGAAAAGTGTGGGGGAAGGTGAGGAAGTGCTTGCCCTGCTGGGAAAGTGCAGCATTAGACAGCAGCAGTCTGATATCTTCTTTACCCTGCCCCAGCACAGTGGAATCAGGAGTCAGTATTTTAATTCTTACTTCAAAGTGGAAGCAAGAAATGGTGCTTTTGCAGCCATTCTGGTTCCACTGCTGAAAACCATCCCCAGCAGCAACTGAGTTGCTCTCATGGGTGCCAAGATGATGTATGGCCGTGCCAGATGGAAAATGGCAGCAGCAAACATGAGCCACGGGGACAAATCCTCAAATCCTGACACTGGCTTTTGGACTTTCTCTTCCCTGAACCAAGTCAGTCTGGTGTACAAATATTCCTGCTTTGCTGTTTCCGATTTGTCCTTTCTGTGAGAAATCAGTACCTGCAGCAGCTCTAAAGATTATTTATTCAACAGTCCTGCCTCAGGCAGAGAGAAGCTGAAACAGCAAATGGAGGCTCAGGACTTCCTGGCCAAAACATTTTTAATTACAGAATAAGCAAATTTCAAAGTCATTGAGCATAGGAGAGAAACTATTTAATAGCACAGAGTACATCAAAAAGCTCCCACATAATCCAAGGCTCCCTGTATCACCTGAGATGGATTTGGGTCTGTTTCCAGCAGTGCCTTGGTAGCACTTGGGAGATGTGTAAGGAACATCCTTGGGATCGAGCTTACAGTGTGCAGCCCAGCCCAGGGGGGAGCCTTGTTCTGGTTCATGGCAAATCCTTCAGGAGCAAGGCAGTCCCCGAACCAACACCAGCCCTGTCAGCCCAGCAGGAAGGAAGGTTTGATGCTACATTTGCTTGTAAAAGGGTACCAAACCACCATGGAAAGTCTCCCCTGACCTTCTTGTAAAACAGAGCTGAAAGTGAGGCAGAAAATGGAGCCAGGGCTTTGCCTCTTGCATGGAGACCCTTTCAAGTATCAAACCATCTTAAGAACTCCTCTTCTGACTGGATTTTCACAAGAGCTCACTTTCACAACACAATGTGTGTTCCACAAGCACACACACACACACAGGTGTTTTCTGCCCTTCCAAAGGGAAGGCCCTTTTCTGGTGTAAGGAAGGGCAGCATTAACATTTGTACTCCAAATGGAAATCAAGGCCATTGCCTCAGGGCTCTTCCTGAGGGGAGAAGGGACAGACACAGACTGAAATAAAAACAACTGAAAGCCTTTGGACAGGCACTTCCACTGTGCCAAGTGGGGAATGTGGGTGCTCCCCAGGACAAGGGAAATGCAGCAGGCTCCTGTGTTACACAATTCCTCACATGTGGCACCTGAGCTCCCCTGCCCCAGCAGGTATTCATGGCCAGGTCAAGCAGTTCTTTCACACCTGGTATCTCCATCTCCTTTTAGATGCTCTCTTTAACAGCATCAATCTCTGCTTCAATAAGGAATGGGAAGTTCTGGGCCAGGTGAAGCAGTTTTGCCTTTTACATAAACACAATTTAATTTTTTTTTAACAGGATTAATGAAGACAGAAATGTTTCATTATCTCAAAACAATTATTCCTGTGCCTAAGCACGTGACAGCAGGAACACTCAAAGGGAAAATCCTCCCTTGTGGCACCAACCAGGCTGCATGTGCACATCCAGTCTCACACATATTTCACATTCTAGAAACAGCTTTGATAGAATAAATTATGTCCTCTTCAGCACATTTTGTGGTATTTTTTTTACCATATTCCTGTGATTCTCTAATCCTATTTCTCTACAAGCACTGGTTTCCCATAAAATAAAGTGACTGTGAACCATCATCTGTGCAGTGAAAGCAGATTAATTATAACCTGCTCTTTACGAGTGACCAGTTCTGATTACCAGCAGGGGATGTTTTAATGTTCTGCACACCATTCTGGGCTCCAGCTTTTTCATTTCAAAACCAACACATTAACCAGTAGGGACCCAGTTACTCTGCTACTTGGCCATACATAAGACAGTTTATATCATCATCAGCTTAACAGTTAATGAGCTTTATTTTTGCCAGTGTCCTGAGCTTGCACTTCCATGGTATGTCATTAAAAGCCAAATGCCAAAACAAAATGGGAAACTATCCCTTGGGGGGAATTTTCATTTGTTCCACTCATCCCCCCTTGGTTATCTAAAAGGCCTCTCACAAATGAGTGCATTTATTCTAGAAAAGAACCAACCTAACATTATAAATATTCATATTGTTCACATGCAAACAAAACTGCATAAAGCCATATCCTGTGTAAGAATTAACAAAATGCCCCCAGAATAGCTGGTTCCAAATTAAATATAATTCAAACAGCATCACAAATCTTGGGTGGCTTGTTGTAATTTCCTTTTTTCTCCTCAAGAGAACTTTTTCTTCAAATGACCACACAGCACAAACCTGGTACCACAGCAACAGAGAGAACATGTTAGAAAACCCACAAGCTCATAGTCTCTGTATTTTAAAGAAAGGGGGAAAGAAAGAATGCTACAAGGTCAAACACCTCTATTCTGACACCTTTAAACTTCCACCTGGGGAAGTCAAATCAAATTGTCCTTAAGAATGTAGAGCTAAACCACACTAACTAAAACCCAGCCAGTATGCAATGAGTGGTGGTGGTACCATGCCATCAGCAGAACTGACTCTGGCCATTCTGACCTGAATGAAATTGTACCCACAGAGAACTACCCAAGTCATCTTCTTGCATGTTTTACTCAACTGTTTACCAAGAAGCCAAAGTTGAGATGCATTATGTGTTTTAGCACTAACAGCAAGACAAAATGCATTTCAAAATACCAGAATAAAGCATAACTCCAGCCTCTTCACCCATCCCAAATGGCTATTTGTGAAATAGTTTGTGAGTGGCAGCCTTGTCCATTATGACCTGCAGGACCCAGGGGTTTTACACAGGCAGTTCTCAAGTGCTGCCTCACACTGACCCTGACACCCATTCACTGAAGGACACCCAGCTCTGGAAACCAAGGAAGATTTGCTTCCCTGGGAGGAAAACTTAACCTTTAGTGCAACAACAGAGAGAAATCAGCCCACAGCTGTGACTCACACAGAGCCACCTTCCTTTACCTCAGTGCAAACCTGAGCGTGCCTCGAGTGCTGAGCCTCCACCACCCCAAGCATCCCATTTCAAGCATTCCAGCCCACAAAGAGATTTATTAACCAAATAATAATTTATTGACCACCTGGATGAGGCAAGGGAGGTGCTCGGGGCAGCCATGCACACCCACAGGCCTGGGTCTGCCAGGACAGCTCATGGCACAACGCGCAGCATCAGCTCCCACAACCACAAGCAGTTCAATGAATCTCCTTGGAAAGTTTCCAAATACCAAAACAGTCACCATGGGACCTTGAAAATCGGAAGAACTGAAGCTTTCTTCTGAAAATTATCTTTTAAATCAGTGTATTGCAGGTACCTGCACATTTATTAATTTCAGGAAAGGAATCCACAGTGGCAGATCAAAATGGAAAATGGGTTTAGAGTGTTCAAGTGCTGGCTCCAGCTGCACTGCCTTTGGACTAGGAGACACATGAGGGGAGCAGCTTGGGCCAAAGAAACACAAAAATTAAGCAAGTCACTAGGACAGAAAAGGACTTTGGGATTCCTGTGGCACCATTTCTAAAGGCTGCTGCTCCTAGACAACACACAGCAGGCATTATTTACTACACTCCTTGTAACTCCCAGAGAAGACAGCACAAAAGCTTCAAGTAAAAACAGCCTCTGAGTTAGATCATGAATATAAACTGATCTGACATTTTAAAAACTTTTATTTTTTCCTATCAGGCATGCCTGACATGTTTTATATGTCTCACTTCATTTAAAAACTGTCTACTGCAAGACTTCTTTCCACTGAAAACAACAAATTACTTACTAAGTCTACAGCCATCTAAAAAAGGCATGAATTGTATAACAAGAAACAGATCCCTTATTACAAACTGTTCTCCCACATATGCCTGTGTCCTAAAGCCATAAATCTTCATTATATTGCTGCTGCAACTGTTTGCTTTATCTTCTACAGGCAGCAACTGTCAAATATGCAGTACATGCTGACACATTTGCAATTTTGAGCTACTTAATTAACTACTCAGCTCCTGTGAATACCCTGTCATGGCAAATGGTAAGCAGTGAGAAAGTACAACACACAGATTTCTTCTCAGCTGAAGTTTTAAAATAAATTCTTAATCTGAAAGAAAATTATCTCAGTTCTAGCAAAATCCTGGCCATCTGGAGCCTCATTTATTACTTAATAAGAAAGATAACGAGCCAAGTGAGATGGGTCCCCAAGCATTTTCCTGCTCTGGAACTGCTTGGTAACAAACTTTGGGTTTTTAAATTTTCTTGAATAACTTATGAATGCACAGAAAACGTCATGGAATGCTGAAGAAATTTCAAGGTAGAAGCTTTGGGTGTTATATATGTTTCCAACAGCTACTTTGGCTGTCAAGAACAATCTGAGAATTAGCTTTTGGTTTATATAGCAGAAAAACACCCAAACCCAAAAGCTGCTCATATGCTAAAATTCCTCTTGAGCTCTCAAGTGAGTGAGCTGTCTGAGGGTGCTCCTCTGTAGGCACCTGAGAAACTGACCTCAGACTGCCCAATCACAAACTGAGCTCCTTAGTGTGTGAAACCAAACCAGGCCCTTAAAAATGTCAACGTGTAGTTTTTATGTAATTTTATTTGTCAACCATGGAAAGAAAAAAGGAAAATAAGAGTATACACAAGTCAAATACACAGATAACAGACTAGAAACAAGACAAGTATCATAAGATCCAAAAAT